ATCGGCGGGTGGGCCTTCCGCCACTCTGCCCCACCCTCTGAAACTACATCCTGCAATCTCTCAGCCTAGCCCCCTCCCTCGCCATTTCAAGACCCACCTCAAGACCCTCCTCTTTGACCATGCTTTTGATCTCCCTGCCTCCCCCCCTGCCCTCCCCCACCCCGACCCTCAGCTCAGGTCCGTAACTCTGTCTGTGCAGCGAAAGGCACTATACAAATGTAATTTTGTTGTTGTTGACACCAGTCTGGCTGATAGAGATGGGCTAGCAGAGTCAGTAAATGTAATACCAATCGGGGGAATTAGTCCTGAGATCCCAAATTCATAGCATATCTTTTATTGCTTAAAAACAAATCCTTGCACTTGACGAAGCACCTGTCATATCAAAACAATTCAAAGCATTCCTGTAAAGCGTAGTGACTGTGGATTTGTTGGCAGGTGCAACAGACAATTGGCCCACAGCAACATCCATCAAACAGCCATGAAATAATGGCCAATGTTATCGGCCATTGTCCTAGTCAACAGTTCTTTAGCCAGGGCAATGAAAATAAAAACCTCTTCACATGGCACTACACTGTAGTGAAGCAACTATACTGAGCAGCCTCAAGCCAAGCACATATGCTTCCTAACACTAACATAGTAATAAGTCACAGGCTGTCATCACCTTTGCAGTCTGGTTTTAATCAGTTTATTTTCTAAATTTCAATTAAGATTTCAAGTCCTAGGAAACTGCAGAAAAGAAATCGAGACAGGATCACACCCAAGAATAAGCTCTATGTAAACGGTGCATTTACTGATATTAAAAGGGGCTCATTCACAAAACTCTAAACCACCTGAAATCAGACAGTTTCATGAAAGCAGCTAAAGAAATCCTTCGGTTTTCAATGCATTGAATAACTTGATCCAATTTACCATTTTAATTCACTGAGCAATTTTGTCTTCACGTTTCTACACAACCAACCCATTTTCCCTCCTTTTTTTAAGATTGGGTAATAATCACATTATGCAGGAAAAAAAATAGGTGGCAAATGGATATGAGAATTATGAGGTTTGCCCCATCTTCCCCTCCCCGATCAAAGCTCGTTTGAGACTCCACTTTCAATCATCTTTCCCCTCCCCACACTCTTCATCCCCTACATCCCCCAAGCTCAGTTTCAACACAGCAACGTGAAGCAATTTCAGATATCGCCCTGATGTGAAAGGTACTATATAAATGTATATTGTATTCTGCCACAGCACCCTGAAGATACTACTTTAAACTACTTTTCACCAGCACGTTTCCTACATGCTTAACAGGATTCTGTGAGTCCATCACTTTTTGTGTGGAATAAATTGTCGCTGATGGTATCTGTCATACCAACACTGGAGTTAATGTCTCCTCCACATTATTGGCAGCTACAAGCCAACTACTGGATCTCTAACATTCGGCAACAAGTTTGTTTCAAAATTATCTGCCAACTCTCGTAAGGAAGTCTAAAATGAGACAGTCGCATGAGACTCATTACTGATAATGGCTTGTTCTAAAATCAGGTGAGACTCTACATATCCTACAAGTCACCACACCCGGCTATTTGAACCATACACCAATTCCCTAAACACCTAATTAAAGGGCCCCCGAATAAAGAAACGCTTAGATTTCTTGCAAGAATTATAACACAAATGATTTTGATTTGAAAATCTCTATTTTCGAGGCCTTTTTTTAAAAAAAATGATGCAATAGCAACAGCGATCAAAAGAAAAACCATACCCAAATCCTCATACATTTACTTTGCAAAATACTGAAGAAGTTACATGAATATTTTCTGCCCTCAGGCTGTTGCCAAGTTTCATCGTTTAGACTTGCGTAGAATCAACAGCACCCCAAAACTGGCCATTCAGCCCAACTAGTCTGTGCTGATATTAATGCTCCACATGAGCCTCCACCTATCCTAATGTCCTTTCCCTAGCCTAGCCCATTCACCTCTTTCCTCTTCTCCCTCATGTATGTTTTGCAATTTACTTCTTAAATACATTTGCTTAAGTCAGCAAGTTCCATCTTCTCACAACCCTCTGTTTAAAGAAATTCTTCCTAAAATCTAATTTAGATCTGTTTGTGTCTTTATACATTGGTTAATCCTGACCAAAAGGAAACTCCTGTAGGCAAGCCATTGCCAAAAGTCTGTGTGCACGAGGAGCAAATATTATGAAAATCACATTCTTCACTGAGAGGAAACAACAGTTTTAAAACAATTAGGACAAAAGGCAGAGCCTCAGAATAATGTATTCAACAAATCATGAAATCAATCGTTATCAGTATAATAATTTACAGAAGCTTTCTTATTCATTTTTCTAGTTTTGTAACTTAGTTCCTGATCTTTCAATGTTATGTAATTGTTGATTAGAGCTCTATGTTGGACACACATTAAAGAGAATCCCAGCTAAAGCAACTGCACAACAGTCTTTAACATCTTGAACTAGAATTGAGAGAAAGCTAGTGGGTCTGAATGTTCCAAAGGCAGAATATTAATGCTGTGTGGAACATTATAACCCTTGAGCTGTTGAGGCCACAGGAATGTTGTCCCAGGGAAGAAAATAGCCAAAGATAAAAACTGTGTAGAATATTAAATGGGGTGAGGGGGGTGGGTGGGGGGGGAAGAGAAATACAGCATGTAATATTAGCAGATGAGTTCTGTAGCATGGAGTCCTGTAGCTCAGTGATTAGAGCACTCGCCTCGCAAGCGAGAGACCTGGGTTAGATTGCCAGCAAGGCAAAACCTTGGGCAAANTTTTTTACTCCACACGCCTGATAATAACCTCTCAAGAAGAAAAAAACAACAATAAATTGGTCACTTCAATCCACGATTGTTTGTGGGACACTGTTGAGTGCAATTGGCTGCCGCGTTTCGCCCACAAATATAGTCAATTCACTTTACAATATATTCTGTGAAACGCTTTGATCGGTGTAGAAGACGTGAAAAGTGCTATATCAAATGCAAGGATTATTATCATTATGATATAGCTTCATAACAATATGTATTCCAATTTGCATGAAATACCCGTGTGTTGCACCATAAGCAAATGGAAGGATCATTATTTTATGATAATTATTACAGCAACCAAAAATACAACAAAAAAACAGTCATTTGCGATCACACCCCCTTTGTCCAGTGCTAACTATTGATCACTTTTGATCATGTTTTGCATGATATGGCCTCCTTTTGTGCCATACATTTCTATGGGTCTGCAGGACTGCAATTATGCTTCCATTGTGCACAAAGTACCAAACAAACTATTATATACTATAGATACCCAGCACATCTGACAAACATTCAGCAGGAACTGATTTATGTGTAGTTTGTTACTGTCTGGAACTAACAGAATTGCCTGATAGATCTTTTAGAGTTAAAGCTATAAGCTGAAATCCAATGAATTATATTTTTATTTTAAAAAATGAAAAACATATTGATGGGTTATTCTGTGCTTAACTTTAACAAATCCATGTACTTATGAGTGTAACACAGTTTTAAATTATAAATTAAATTAAATTAAAAATGTAAAATGTCATCAGTTATTTATAAGTGCACAGTGGCAAATTTGCTCCATTTAATGAATGGAGCAGAATAGCTCCCTTTGAGACAGTCACAAAAAACTCCAACATATTTTAGTAAACATTAGAAATAGAGGCTTTGCTTCAGTGTTCCACCAGAGCAGCATCTAACGTCTGCCAAGCCCTTCATAATTAAGGCATCAGTATCAAATAGCTGCCAGTCAGGCCAGCTGACAACTTTGTTTTCCAAGCCAAAATATTCTGATGGCAGAAATCCAGTAGAGAAACTCCACTGCCCCTTGCCTGAGTTGTCACTGCCCTGGAAGTCAAGAGAAACTAAATATCTAAATGCACCATGTCGATTATGAGGTATTAAAGTGCTGACATTTCTCAAGAGTCTCAGCCTTGCAACAATCCCATTAGATGCACTTTGCTGACATGATTTGTAAAGCACTATTTCAAATTCCTCTGGGATCTGGAGAAACATGGCAGTTTTGCGATATCATCTTAAAAACAGCAAAACAGAGCGCACAAAAGACAGACAAAACACTTGGAGAAAATAATTGAAAACCAGAAAAATATCCTGCCTTTTTAATTAATTTTTTTGTTGGAGGTGAATAGAAACCTTATCAAAAAGTAACCGTTTCATTAAGGTGCTCTTCGTAAACTTTTTTTGAACAATTGATGCAGATCAGTGACACAAAGCACTCTTGCAGGTCATAAATAGACAGGGTCTAATTTGTGAGATGCTGTATAATCATCCTTTAATTCAGCTTGCGAATTCGGGTGAAGTCAGCTGTGTAAAGGCAGATGGTGTGTAAGTTATGTAATTGTAGATAACCTGCACAGAAAACACATGAACTATTGTCTCTTCAACCAATCATTCACTCTATAGTCCTCAGACTGGCAAATCAGCAAAGATAGTTCGATCGAAAGCTGAGGGTTGAAGCCCCACATTGGGACTTTGAGATCATAGATCCAAAATGACACTTCATTGCAAATTACTAAGGCTGCATTGTCAGAGGTGGCATCCTTGGGATGAGACGTTAAACTGAGTTCTTATCTGCCTGTTCATGTGGATGTTAAAGATCCCATAGAACTATTTGGAAAGAGAAGGGAGTTTCTCAGTGTTCTGAGAAACAATCTCCTAGATAAAATCATTCTCCATGCAAGATCAGAGGCAATGAGTGCCTGCAGGCTATTTGTCTCCAGTAATGACAAGTCAACCTTACCATTGTCCCAATACAACATTTCCTGGTAACAGTCCAGATGATTATAGGATTCAAGTCGACCAAGTGCCCCCATAGTCACATGTTATTAGACTTTAGAAGGATAAATGGACCGTGATCGCCTCAACCTTTTTGGATACCTTCTCAAGAAATTCGATTGCGGACTTGTTCTGGGAACTGGAAACTTTCATCCACACACACTTTTCTTGGACCTGTAAAATCTGTTATCAAAAAATAAATCCACTCACTGTGCAAGGGGTCTGCATCCAAGGCTCTCCATCAATCTGCATTGGCAGGAACTTGCTGGTTCTGGAGAGCAAAGATGTAAGGTATTCACTACAACACAAGGAACTTTAAAACTCGCTGCAAAATAAATGTAACACTTTCATTGTGCATTCAGCAGAGCCAATGTACAAAGTTCATTACAGTTAAGATTAATTTGACCTGCTAAAACTGTAAAGTCATATAACTTGAAAATAAAAAAAGAAAGAATAGAGGCTCTTTACTCCGGTAGGAAATTCTTATTCTTTATTAAGATAGATACATTTGTCAGGAAATTACCTAACTTAATCATCAGCCAATTCCCATGCAGGAATAAGAGCAGTAACAGATAAGATCACAATATGAACATCTCATTTTATTTCACCTGTTCTATGGGCTGTGAGATGTGCAATTCATTAATAAGGGACCAGAAGAAGTTCATGCTAACCTCCGTTACAATGCAATTTACTTTCGGAGCAGAGATCTCATTGTTTAGCATGAACATGAGGGATGTACCTCCAGTTCTAAGTAAGAATCCCCACTTGGGTTACTAAGGAATTCAGTTAAAAATGCTGGAATATCATCCTATGCCCTCATATTATTAACCCCCAATCTATTACTTGCAAAGTCTGTCAATTTGATCAATTGACCACATAATATGATAGAACATCATTGGTTCCTTTCCCCATCGCGAGGACAGTCACATGAGCACTTCAACCCAGGCTGGATATTATTCAAAATTTCTCTCCCAAGTGGAATGGAAGGGTTGAAGAAATCACAGATTTTCTTGTTCTTTTTGTTACTTTTGATATATTATTTCAACAACATTTTGATATAGTTAATTAACTGTCAAGCAATTTGTTCGCATCTGATGATTGATACTCTTATGTCAGGAAGTGGCCTTCAAGAGGGAACTAGACAAATATCTTAAGCAGATTCAGCTACAGGAGTACAGGGAAATGGCAGATAAATGGGACTGAAAGGATTGCTCTTGTGGGAGCCGGCACAGACACGATGGGCCGAATGGTCGTGTTTTGTGCTGTAAATTTCTGCGGTTCTATAGTACTTTTAATGTTGTGTACAGAACCTGAAAGGCACATCACTGCTTGGGTCAAATACATGTAAATACACTAATTCTGGCCAATTTCTTTGTGGAAGAAATGGAAGGGAAATAAAAATCAACTCTAAATAACTCTGATTTCATTATTCCTATTCCTGTTTTCCCACATAATAAAAAGACTAAAAGTGGGAGATTAGGAGAATTCTTTTTTTTACACAGTGAATTACTAGTATGTGGAATGCCCTTGAAGAGGCAATTAGATAGATATCTAAAGAGAAATAATCTGCGCAGGTATGGGGGAAAAGGAAATAACTGGAACTGAATGGACTACTCTTTCAAAAGAGGCAGCAAAGACACAGATGGGCTGAATGGTCTTCTTCAGTGCTGTAAAATGTTTTCCAGAACAATGTTTGTTCTGGGAAAAAATAAAGTCAAATATCCTCAACGAGTGATCACATAGTGTAGGAGGTACACTGCTTTGTACCTGATGATGAGGGAAGAGCACTGAGCCAGCCGCTTTCCTGCACTCTTTAGTCCAGTGTAGATCTGTCCCATTTCCATGGCACCTTCGAGGCCAATCACTTCAAACAACTGGTCAGTGACATCTGTAAAATACATGATAAGCAACTAATCCATTTATTCACAGGAACATAAATGAAACATGGATCAAATGATTTAACATAAAAACACTGAATATTCAGACAATCATATAAGGATATAATAATAATTTGATCACTGAATCCACGACTGTTTGTGGGACATTGCTGTGTGCAATTGGCTGCCGCGTTTTGCCCAAAAATATACAGTCAATTCACTTTACAGTATATTCTGTGAAGCGCTTTGAGAGTCTCGAAAGGCATTATATCAAAAGCAAGGATTCTTATTATTAAGAGCAAATTATAGGGGTATGCTTTCAAGAGGGAACTAAATGGATATCCAAGGAAGAATAATCACAGGGCTGTGGAGGAAAGGCAGGTAAATAATAATAATAATCCTTGCATTTTGTATAGCACCTGGTCATGGCGGGAGGAGGCCCCAAAGCGTTTCACACAATTTACTGCAAAGTGGCTATGTCCTTATGAGTAAACGTGCAACCAAATTGCGCACAGCAAAGACCCACAAAGAGCCATAAAGTGAATGACCAATTTTTTATTTGAGGGATTGTTTGCCAGGGCACCGACAGAAACTCCCTTCTCTTTTCGGATAATGAAATGGGATCTTTAACTCCACCTGAACAGGCTAAAGGGACGTTGTGTAAACGTTTCATCCGAAGGAAGGCACCTTTGACAAAGTAATACACCCCCAGTGCTGCATTACAGTGTCTACTTAGGCTATGTGATGCCAAGTCCCGACATGGGACTTGAACCCACAACCTTCTGACTCAGAGGCGAGAGTGCTACCACTTGGCCAGGCTGGACTGAAAGGACTGCTCTTTAAAAGTCAGCACAGACACAATGTAGCAAAATAGCCTCCTTCTTTGTTGTAAATTTGTATGGTTCTATGGATTCTGTCCAGCTAAAACATATGCCAGATGATGTACATTCAGAGTTGCTCGGAGGTTTATAAAGTGGGTTTCCTGTTTTTTTACTTATGAAACAGGCAAGTGGCTGACCGGGAGTAACAGCTTCAAGGAATCATCAGTCAGTAGTACAGCAAAAAGTAAGGGTAAGTCTTAAACAGCCAGGGACAATGTTAATTGAAGGACAGGAAGAAATTTGCGTTGTTCCTCAAGCAGTTTCCCTTTGTGCTAAATAAGCCAAGGAAAGAGTTAAATAATGCAAATTTTTGCCCCTACGTTTCTAGGTATGTGTGGAAGAGAATCACGCTCTTGTGGGACAACAGCAACTCCGAGTCCATAAAACGGAATTCAGTTCATTACTTTGGGGCAGGCAACTGACAAAGAACAATTTGTTAATGATGAAGCTGTATAACTTTACATTCTGCCAAAAAATGTGAACTTGCAAACCAAATGTTTTCATTTCATTCAGAATCAGGGTAGAATGCTTTTGTTGTGGTCGGTGGCAGACTTTGTTACTGAGTCAGACTGCTTCATTGCATTCCAGGGAATGTTATGTAGGTGGTTGTGCAGCTTTGATCTGAAGACAGTGTTTCCAAATAACCATTTAAGAGTCAAAGCTTGTGGTCTCTTTACAATGTAAGCCAATATGTCTTGTGTTTCTAGTAAATCATGAGACAATTCCTTTGCATATCCAAGAATTTTTTTTAACAGAACCATAACTGCTTAAATAAACTCCTAAATCAAGAACAACCATTCAAATTATTATTAATGTGAGAAGAGCTTGATGATCACTTTGATCCCAACACTTGGGGTCATAGCTCGTGCTTTTTGAAAAAAATAGATTTGATTTTACAACAAAATGGAGGGTGAAAGATTCGAACAGAATTGGGAAGATAGGATTCTGCAGGATGAGAGAAAGTGCCAAAGATTGCTGTTTTTTTTTAAAAAAAGCCCCTATACGACTTATGACTGTCATCAAAACTATTTAATTCCTTCTTAGAATTTGCCGGCCCCATTTGCTGCCAAAATCGGAGAAGGTTGAGCCAAAGCCTTACTGTTATGGTTCCCTAGTGAAATATTCTGTATTACTGCCACTCCTCATCACTATTCTCTATTCTTACTCTCCTCCAATGAAGCCCAAGACAGATTCAGGATCCTTTTAATTTGATGGACACCTTCAACCTTGCACATCAATTTTTACCATCTTCAAAACTCAGCTTTTACCTCACGTTTTTCAACAAACCATAACAAGAAGCTCTCTAAACAGGTTAATGTCTCAAAGCACCTCAAAGGAAGGGGGTGGGGAAGAGGGTGGTTGGATGGCAAACAAGGGAGAAGTGGGAGATGACCGTAGGTGCAGTCAAAGAGTTAGGTGTTAAATTAGGATTTAAAGATAAAGAGGGGGGAAGTGGAGGGGTTGAAGCAGGGAGTTTCAGAAATTAGGGCCTTAGTGGCTGAAGGCACGGCCCCCGATGGTGGAGCAGCGCTATTGTGGGATGAATAGAAGGCAAGAGCCAGCTGGGTAAAGGAGCAGGCAAAGGAGTGGGGCAAATTATAATCCTTGCATTTGGTACACCACCTTTCATATCGGGAGGACGTCCCAAAGCGCTTCACAGGTATAAAGTAAAGTGACTGTGTGTTTTGTGGGTGAGTGGTGTACAAGCACATGAAGGGATTTCTATTTGAGAGTGATGATCTTGAAATGAATTATTTCGGTGACAGGTAGCCAGTGGAATCTAATGAAGATCGGGGTGATAAGCATGCAGAGTTTCACTAGAATGGAGTTTTATTCTATTTCACAGAATGGTTTTATTTATTTTGTTTAAAAAATTGAGCTGCAAACCATTTTAATTGTAAGCTCATCATCCACTTTACTTTTTATCTAAATGTCTCATTAATAGCATTTCAAATTTGATAATGGTCCATTAACCGACTATATTTATGCAATCATCTTTTAACTTGTTCCTAAAGTCTCTTTTACTTCTAGTTAAGGGCTGCACCCAAATCATTACCCTTATAACCAAATAAATCCACAGTACAGAAGGCAGCTAGCTATTTTAAGACTAATTTTTTCAGTCCCAATTACCTGCCGTTTCCCCATATCCTTGTAGTTGACTTATTTTTGGATATTTATCTAATTCTGTTTTGAAAGCTAAAAACAACACTCGCATTTATAGAGCAATCTTGCATTTGCATATCCTAATTCCTCTGTGGGCAGGTATCTTGCTCCTTCACATACTGAAGTACCTGCAGCAAAATTCTAGGATTTTTTATATTTAACAACAAATTGCACTCATATAACTGGGAGGCTGATGAACAGAACGTTGCAGAAGTCAAGCCTAAAGGTGACAAAGGCTAGACAAATGATTTGGCTGCATTGTGGGGAGATGTGTGTGTGGTAGGTGGAATGATATTGCAGAAGAGGGACAAAGTGGACTTGATTAAAGTTTGAATAAAGAAAGGTGAGGGTCGAACAAAATATTGAGATTTTTCTCCCACCACCCCCTTGACTCCCATCCCTCACAAATCCAACCCCCAGCTTGGGTGCAAAGTCTCAATTGTCCAGCACTTTGGGACACCTTTCTGATGTGAAAGGCGCTATATAAATGTAATACATTATTGTTGTTGATGTGATAAGTATGACATGTACCTCAAATTAGACCTTGATGTTCCACTTGAATGCTATATCATGCTCAGCTCTTCCAGAACAACAACAACTTGTACTTATATAATGGCCTCCATGAATTCGGGGATGGTCAAAAAGGAAAGTTTTCAGGCGGGACTTTGAAAAAGGGGAGAGAGGGGGCAAGGCAGAGGGATTGAGGGAGAGCGTTCCAGAGTTTTTGGGAGTAGTGGCTGAATGTGCATCCTCCAATGGTGGAGTGGAGGACTCGAGGGACAAGCAGGAGGCCGTTGCCTGTTCAGCGGATACACTGGGTGGTGGATTGGGGAGTGAGGAGGTCGGCGAGGTAGGGAGGTGCCAAGGAGTGAAGGGATTTGAACCCAATGTGAGGATCTTGAAGTGAATCCGTTCGGTGATGGAGAGCCAGTGGAGCCTGGCCAGAACTGGTGAGATAGGGGTGCAGAGTTTGGTCCGGATCAGTGTGTGGGCAGCAGAGTTGTGAATGAGCTGCATTTTTTGAATAGTGGAACTGGGGAGACTGGCAAGGAGTGCGTTTGAGTAATCTGGCAGGAGGTGACAAACTTATGCACGAGGTTTTCGGCTGCATTTGGGGTAAGGTACGGTCAGAGGCGGGCAATGTGGCGGAGGTGGAGGAAAGCGGTCCTGGTCAGGGAACGGATGTGGGGGGGAAGAACCAAGTGAATATAATTCTCACTCCAAACATTGACAACTAACCATTGAAATCAAAGATCCTGTGAAATATAGGACCTTTTTTCAAATCAGGAGAGATAAGTTGCTATTTTTTAAATGAATATTTTGCTCAAGATACAAGTCTGTACATACTATAGCATGAAATGAGAAACATCAAGTCATAAAACCTATTCCTGCCAAGAATCTAACTACTTCCCTATAACTTTCTTTCAACCCACTTAGTTCCTTGAAAGAAAGGCAATTGAGAAAGCCTGTCAAATCACACTGGCTGCATTATTCAAATGTTAAATTGAGGTCCCGTCTGCCTGTTCCAGTAGACGTTAAAGACCCCATGGCACTATTTGAAAAGAGCCTTCTCTTTTCAGGAGTTTTGCCTGGCCAATATTTTCCAGAAAAGAATGATCATTCACTTCATGGCTGTTCGTTAGATATTGTTGTATCTAAATTGGCTGCTACATTTTCCTACAATTACAGTTTCCAGAAACTTTGTGACACACTTTTCAATGTTCAATATTAATAGACGCGTTGATGGTGAAGGTTAGGTATCTATTTGTCCATACTGTTCTCATTTAATTTCTCATTTAATTTTGTGTAGGTCAGAATTCTTTTACATGAAAGACACTATAAAATACAAAGTGCCATGCTATCTTTTCACTCTCAATAATAACTTGCATTTATATAGCCCCCTTCATGCAGGCTAGAACTGCAGAATACTGAAATCGCATTGCTAGCCAGATATTCATTGAGTTCTT